CTTGGGGCCTCTTGGGGCCTCTTGGGGCCTCTTGGGGCCTCTTGGGGTTGGGTTGCTTGGTGAGTTCTTTTTATCGGGTGACTTGGAGTCTTTTGAAAAGAACCGGTCTTGAGGTGAACTTGGCGGCTTCTGTGGCTTGTTTGCAGATACATGAAAAGGCATGCCAAGAGACGAAAGCATTTTTGATGGCGCTCCCATGACTTGAGGAGCTCCACACGTACTTCCGCAAGTGCGAGTCGAAGGTTCAGATTGCTGGAGAGGCGCCGATGGCGCAGATCCAGAGATTGGGCACCGATGTGCTACCACCCACTCTGCCCAGTGCACACGCTGTGGTCGTAGGTGCCCCTGGCACTTGTGTCACTCAAGGCCCACCGGTCCTTTTAATGGAGACACCGACAGCTGTGGCAGTCTCAACTGCACCTGCAGTGGTGCCTCCAGCCTTTGCTGCACCCATACCGGTGGCAGCACCTGTGGCAGTCTCAACTGCACCTGCAATGGCGCCTCCAGCCTGTGCCCCGCCCATGTACTATCCAAATTATGGCCCGGGCTATGGACTTGGAGCCGGAATTGGGAATCAGCCTGTGGCTCTCCCGTACGCAGGGGCGGGCACCAATCCTGCTTGGAGAGTGGATAAGCCTGCTTGATGTTCCTTTTGCGTGAATCTGTTTTGTCCTAGCCTCCAGATGTCAAAATGACACTGAGGAGCAAGCGCGACCTGATTTGTCCCAAAAACTGCCGATTGAAGCTGTACTTGTCCTGGAGTAGACAGAATAGGTGAGAACATGTGACAATCTAGATGACATATATATATCGACATCAGTTTTACGCATCAGAGCCTGTTCTCAAACAGTTCATCTTTATTTGACAGAACGCGTTTCTTTTAATTTCAAGACCTGCCGGAATCACACACTTTCAAAAAATAGAACACCGAAACGTGACTCCTCAGCCACTTCCGCAGTAGTTCGACCACCCAACGGTTGATTGGCCCCCTTAGCGGGTCGAAGGGTCGAATCGAATGAAGTCGAATGGTCGAACGAGGCTTGACCGTGCCGGTGGGTGTGCTGCTCTTTGGACCTCCGGGCTGTGGAAAGACTCTTTTAGCCAAGGCGGCTGCGGATTCGGAGGTCGGTGTGGAGGAGTTCGGAGGGGAGGTGGTTTTGCCGGTGAAGCTTTTTCTTTCACGGAGAACGCAGGGGTATTCCTTTTTCACCACATGGGCAAGCGCCCGTGACGTGGGACCGCCTGAAGGGTGTACCCGTGTGGACTACAAGCATCCAAGAGTCGACACTCTTGTTCGGGTTCATTCCACGAAGTACGTGAGCAGGGGCCTGCGTGGAGGACCCGCGTGCTCCCCAAATGTGCTGGCGAATTGGAAGAACATGGAGGCAACCTGCCATACCATACCGACTTGTTCCTTGGCCGGAAAATCCTCAGGCCCACCTGAGCCACCAGAGGAACCTTTCATCAAGCATGTGCGATATGGTCAAAGAAGAGGAGTGTAGATGCTATCGCAGATCCCCACGGGGCGAATTCAAGTTGAATGATTCGATTCTTCATTTTCATTGAAGACTTGAGCCATGTGACGTTCCGCGCGCAAGCATGCTTTCGGTCTAACACAAATACACACGTCCATGTACAGTCACAGCGCAACGTGTACACGTCCGACAAGGACAAGGGGAAGGCGAAGATCACAGCAGCTTCACGCGACTCGGGTGTGCGCGTTCCAGCATAAGACAGTTTGACCAGGTCAACTGGCAGTGTTCTTGCCCGGGATGTTTTGTTTTTTGTTGTTGTTGTTGTTGTTTTTTTTTTCCGATTCTTTCTCCGGCAGAACGCTTCGGAACGCGTGTCGTTGTCAGGCCACAGCCAATCAAAGTGGTGCCAACTTCATTGCTGTCAAGGAGTGGGCAAGAAAGTGGGTGTCAAAGTTGAAGGATATGGCAGGAACTCTGTTCTAACCTTTGTGGACTCTTTTCATCCACAAGAGCTGAGCTACCCCTATCCACAAGAACTGAGTCCCACCTGCGAAGACGTCAGGGGCCAGAACTTCTCAACAAGTACGTGGGAGAGCCGGCATCTCAGGCTTCACAACATAGCCCATCCTTCCAGGTGTTTCTTTAAAAAGGTGCTCTGCTCTTTCACCCGTTTTCATCACGCTGAACACTTGGACGCTCACGTCTGCACCTCATCAGAGACGAACCGCAGTTACCGGTGCCGGACCGACACCGCGGGGTCCGAGGTCGGAACGCGCCGTGCGGCTGGTCTTCCAACGGGCGCGCAGCTCCGCGCCCTGCGACGACCCTGAGGGAGGAACAGTGAGGGAGGAGGGAGATTGGAGTGGGGTCGAAGAAGAGTCCAGTGCGGCTTGTGGAGCGATTCATCTGGTTTTCGTAGTGTCAAATCCTTAGTAAAACAATTGCGGTTTGGTAACGAAACTAAAAGCATGGTGGTTGGAAGCCTAGGGTATGATTTCATAGCTGTACATGACATATAGAGATGCTTGAGAAGAATTTGCACATAGAGCCACCAAGTTCCCAAACCACCAGCCAATGTAGACTCGTGATATTTCACCCCCCCAAGCCTGAAGAGGTTTTTCGACGGTTTTTCTCCCTGAACTCTTTTGTAAAGGACTTAGCATCCACGGCGGGTAGCATCCAAATGGGACGTGATCCATCGAGACTCTTGCTTCGTCCTTCGCATTGAATCGCTGCAATATCGATGGTTGGACTGAAGGCACGTCCACCCTTGCTTACACGGGAAGACCACCGGGGAGACACCGAAGGGCACGTCCCACCCAGGCGAACGCGCCGAGTCTGAGGCGTGATCTTCTTCGATGAGCTCGATGCTCTGGTGCCTCGGAGGCTTTCGGGGCGGCACCGGGGGTCCGCCGGGCGCGTCGCGGATGGGGTGGGACTGGGGACGGCCACGTGGGTTTCGGTGGTTCGTTGGGTTCGTTGGGGTTCGGTGGGTGGGGTTTCCACCCACGCAGGGTGAGGACGGAGGTTTTGCTCCTTCGTGGGGAGGGACGGGGGACGGCCACGTGTGGCCGCCCAGACGGAGCGACAGGAGTGCCATTCTCGGTTTGGGGTGTCTCCCTGTTCAAATGTGTGTACTGAATCACACCCCGTCTGATTGATTCATGCTATATCTCCAGCGCTTTGATTCATGAACAGTCCATCTAACTGACAGAACACCTCCGACTCTCCGCCAACCGGCACCGGTTCCTCCGAACTCCTCCACCGAACCGCCAGGTCCTCAGAAGGCAACGGTTCCTCCGAACGCGCGCGGCCCCTCAGAGTCAATGCTCACCGGCCAGGGAGGACGGCGCAGCCGGCGTCGATCATGCGCCCCGTCGGTGCGAGGTGGTCAACCAGATGCTGACGGAAATGGATGGGGTGCAGTCGCGCTCGCAGGCGCCTGGACGTCCGGACGAAGGAAAGGCAAGTTATGACACCGACCTTAGTAGGCAGTTATATGATATGAAACACTCCATGTATGGCAGATTTATATGACATTAGGGTGGTTCTGAGTCAAACACTGTGAAAGATAGTGATCTTTAGAGTATCTCAAAAAACATCATTTACTTCACTGCAACAAAATATAGTCTTTCGACTTGAGGGGTAGGCATACATTCCATCCATACATGGTGTGCCCGGGCATAGACGTTCTGATCAAGCAATTTCACGTTCGGCCAGCCACACACTGATGGATTGAACGAATTGATATGGCATTATGGCACAGGGATGCAGAGCGATCGTGTGAAAGGGTTGCCATCTGAATCAGAGACTCGTGTATTTTCCATTTTTGAAGGATTGCAAGCCATCCAAATGCCACACAAGTCTTTTCACATTACAGTCATTTGCACTTTTCAAAGAAATGCCAGAACCCCAGCAACAAACCCAGTTTGTGGTTTCATGACCAACCACCATGTATGTGGTACCACGTTTGAAGGGATTCTCCGTTCCCCGTTTTTCTCCCTTCCAACGGCCTTCGCGGCACGGAACCGGTCGGGTGCCGAGGTCTTCGTGATCGCCGCGACGAACCGACCGGACATCGTCGATCCGGCCATGCTGCGGCCGGGTCGACTGGATCGGCTGCTGTACGTGCCGCTACCATCCTCGGAGTGGTGCTCAGCGTTCAGCTGCTTTTTTGGTTGCCCTAAGAGTCCGGCCCCTCAAATAGACAGGGTTTGGTTCGGGTCCAGACCCCTGCCATGGAGGGCCCGCTTGGATTCTTACTAGTAGGGTAGCATGAACATTTGGCAATAGCACAAAACATTGAACAAAGAAGTCGGTGCATTCTTTTTGCTTTGGACTAAGGCAGGCCGTTTGGAGATCCTGAGGACGCACATGCGCAAGTGCGCCCCTGAATGAAGTGGGTTGAAACAGACATCAATATGGGTTTGTATCAAAACAGGGAGACCTCCACTAATTACGGTAAATGGTTTGGGTATGTTTGTGTCTATGTTCCTTCCTTCAAACGAGGTCGAGCTGGAAGGTCTTCCTATTTCAATACACCTCCAGAGTCCTGAATGGTCCTGCCTCTGTGCTCCGAGAGGCTCCCATTGGCTGCAGATGTTGTCCTAGACTTGGAGAAAGAAAGACGCTGTTGCAGTCATTGTTCAGGTTTTTGAAGACTAGGATCCAGCAATTTACGATCATTTCCCCAATGCGGGTGACCTCCGAAATCGTGGCTAAGGACTTGTCAAGATTTGCCGAGGAGGCGGAAGGCTTCAGTGGAGCTGACTTGGCATCCTTGGCACGCGAGGCAGTGACACTGGGGATTTGGCTGCAAGGTCCCCTTCCGTGAGAAGAGCGCAGAACGTGTTGTGAAAGACGTCAAAGCGAGGGTGGGCTGTGTGGGCATTCTTGACATTTTAGTTGCAGCTGGCATTCTTTTTTTTGGTCAAACTTGCCGAAATCTATCACGTGCAGCGGCGCAAAAGAAGGACACTGTCTTTCTTTTTTTGCAGGCTGCGATGCAGGCCATTCGCAGGGCAGCTGCTAGGCGGGAAAGAGCAACATTTATATAGCTGGAAGATCTTCCATGTAGCAGGTGATTTTCCAATGGTTCTGGGTTTTAGGCGCTTTTTTTGGATCTTCTGCCTCTTCTGCCCATGACGGTCTGTTCAAAACCGTTTTTTTGTTCTGCACGAGCTGACGCGCGTCACTCCGCTGCTCGCAGTCCGACACGCGAGACGAGCGATGCACAGGACGGAACTGGGTGAAAAAGATCTCGACGACCAAAATGGGGAGAAGTCGAGTCCACTGGAGAGTCAAGTCAAGTCCCAGTGAAGTCAAGTCTTGAGAGTCAAGTCAAATGGACCAGATTTCGGGCTCGACTAGCCCTGGGGAAACGACGAAAAACCCGACCGAGTCCCTGAATTGAAGCCGGATGCGAGTCGAGACTCCTCAGACCGTGGTGTCCTTTTTCTGACATGCAGGAGCACAAGTCACTGGCCGCTGCAGCTGGGGTGCAGGCAGATTTGGGCTGAACGCATGGAGTCTTGGAACTCATCCTGCTTTCAGGTCACCACTGATCTTCTGGCTCAAGCAAGAAGCCGGATCCAGCCATCAGTTGGCAAGCAGGAGGGGGTTGGACACTCCGGGGCGCTCAAACCTGCCGTGGTCCGGCCACGTGTCCGGTGTCCGTGAACGAACGTCCGACCCGTCCGACCCGTCTGAGCTGCTTCCCCCGACTGCGGTAGGAGAGGAAGGAGTACGAAGAGCTGGCGTATCGACTCTGTGGATGGAGACCGGAGAAGGAGCGACCGGACCAGCCGAATGAGGTGCCCGGGTTTTCCGGGGGGTTTTTGGGGTGGGCGTAGAAGCGACCAGACAGTCCGCAAGTCGCCAAATGGGGGTGGGTTTGATGAAGCAAGAGTCTATGGTTTTTCATTTTAGATCCCAGATTTGGGGTCTACTCAGAGTCTACTCTGTTTACCTGAGGTCCCTTGGAAGTAGTTGCAGGTATCCTTAGACCAGAGTTGAGGCCTTTTTTTCTGAGTCCGAGGCGCCGACGCACACGTGATGCCGCAGAGCAGCGGGCGCCGGTTTAAACTGCGCAACCGCAGTTGATTTGCGCGAGCACCTGAGCAGCGAGTTCCTCGACTTCCAGGCTTCCCCTTTCGTGTTTTCCAGGTGGGTGTGGTTGGACCACCTGCAGGGTCAACCTCCCAGGAGCTCCAGGTTTTGACCCGCAGCCAGGTCCAGATCTACAAGCCAAGCTGCGTGAAAGCCAAGCTCTCCGCGGTGAGAAATGAGGATCATTCATGATCATTCTGCGTCATGAACCACAAGGCTTGGGCCACAATTCTTGTGACTTTCTTTCTGAACAAACTTGGGTATATATTTATACTTGGAGCTTCCAATTGTGCAGAATTCATGCCTTTGGGCTGGTTTGATGGATTAAAAGGCAGAGCTTGTGCACGGTTGGAAGATTTAGGTATTTCTCCACATCATTTACTCATATAGCCTGAGGTTGCTAGTATAGATGACGGTGATGGCTCCAGCTGGACAAGACTAAGAAGCTACAGCACAAAGAGTCTAACATGGACTCATACATGTCACATACAGCCAGCACACTGCGTCCTTTGCTGCAGAGAGCTTTTTCAGACCATGACCTTGAATCTCGACAACCTATTCAAGTCAGCCTAGCATCGACCAGAAAGACCTTCTCTTCTTTGCGCAAAATCAACTCCTAGCTGGTTTCTAATAGCTTCGTGTTACTAGAAGCGATGCACTTGTTCCTAGTAGCGAACATTGTTACTACTAGTAAGGCACTTGTTACTACTAGCGATGCACTTGTGCCTAGTAGCGAACATGGTTTCTGCATGGTGTCGGGGAGTTTGAGATTTCCCAGGACCGACGCGACCGACCCCGTTTCCTGCCGATTCTGCCGATGGACCGTGAGGTCCCGGACCGCGCCGTCCTCGTCCCCGGAGGACTTGGGTGTGATGTCCCGAGGACCGCTGGGCCGAGCAGGAGATCGAAGCGTGACAGAGATCAGGCTTGGTCAAAACCCGAAAATGAGCAGATTCCTTTGTTAAGGGAGGTCATCCTTCCATGGTTTGGTGGGGGGAGGCTAGGTTTTTCACAGCAAAAGACAGGTGTGTGGTTTGGCGGCCCAGACAGGTGGTTCACACCATGTCGCGAATGAGCTTCCGTCGGTAGGTCAACCAAGGTATTCTGGTCTTGACTCAAGCTCTTTGGGCAGTCAACCAAAAAATTTCTCGACAAGGTATTCTGGTCAACTCAAGCTCAACAGACTCACAGCCAATTTTCTCGATTCTGTTTCGAGTTTTCGGTAGTCTTATCAGCGACCAGATTTGGGCTCAAGCTCTTCGTTCAGGGCCCCAGAAAAGTGGCAGACAGGCGCAGGAGGCGGTGGAACGAGTGGCAAATCGATTGACATCGACTGACCGTGCTGTTTGTTTACTTCCGCAGGTTCAACGGTCCGGCCCTGGTGTCGGGAGCCAAAACATGGCGAAGACAGTGAAGTTTGAAGGCACGAGCATGAGAGCATGAGCATGCAGCGATGAAAACGCGTCCATCGTTTAAATGTTTTATTCCCTAGAAGTCCAAGTGACGATCTTTCGCGCCGAAATAAAGGACATTCCTGAACGGTCAGCGAAAGACACTTCTTTCAATGGTGGACAACGAGCTTTTGCTCGTTCGGGAAGAGTCATGAAGAGTCGCACTGTCGCAGGCGTTGGCATGACGTGCTCGGGATGTTCGGGCGCCATCGAGAGAATCTTGAAGAAGGTGCCGCGAGTGCTACACTCCGACTTGGACGCCAAACCAAATTCTTTTGGAAGAGGTGTCTGTGTGCGCTTGCGAGCCTGGGTGCTGCATGAGTCCCATCTCATAGTCGACTTGTATCTTTGTAGCCTCATATGATGCTTGGCGATGTTATGTAGAAACCTTGTCCAAATGCAGCAAATTTTGTGTTTAACATGAGAATTATTGCCTCAAAGCAAAGCATAACAAAGCCTTGCAAGGTTTTGAAAAAGGAGGGCAAATACCGTTGAGGCATCTATCGGGGAGTGTCTGCGACGCGCGCTTTGGAACTTGGCTGCTGATGCCATTGCACGATGCTGCTGGGGCTGGGGCCGCTGCAAGGCAACGCCTTATGTCGGTGGCTGTGTGCGCTTTGGAGCTTGTGTGTTGGTGCCGCTGCGGGGGAGGGGGCTGCGACAGGGTGTCCGTGCAGGGTGTTGCTGTCAGAGGTTTATGGCAGCGCGCGATTTGGAGCGGGGGTGCGGACGTCACCCTGCCCACAAATATCTTTTTGCCATCTGTGGTCTATGCTGGCGTAACTTTCTGGCAGAAATGTTCCTCTTGCAATATCTATTTGTTTGCAGAGAAGTGCACTTTTCATGCAGGGCTTGAAATTTTGAGACATTCTTTCGGGCTACATTCTTTAATGCACTGTTATCCTGGTGAATGCCTCTTCGGCGCAGAGACCGGTTTGCAAGCAAAAACACATGCAGATTTGTTTCATGCTTCCAGTAAGCACACTTGTTGCAAGAAAAATGTTTGCTTGCCTTCAAACAGTTAGACAGTGTTTCCAATGCTTTCAATACAGTCGTTGGCGGGACATCCAGTTTTGAAGAGTCTACTTTTCCATTTTTCCAGACGGCCAGAACTATTGGGGTCCTTAATTACTTCAACTGTAGGAGGAGGTGCCTGTGTGCGCTTTGGAGCCTGGGTGCTGGTGCCGCTGCAGGGTGCCGTAGCCAGACGTGTGGCTGTGTGCGCTCTGGAGCTTGGGTGCTTTGCAGCTTGGGTGCTGGTGCCGCTGGTGGGTGTTGCCGCAGGGTGGTGCTACGAGATGTTTATGGCAGTGTGCGCTTTGGAACCTGCGTGTTGGTGCTGCTGCAGAGTGCTGCTGTTGTGGTGCTGCCCACCCAATTTTTTCTTTCGCTACCTGAAGTCTATGCTGGTATATATAGTTTCATTTTCCTGTGCTGTTGCCCAAACACTTTTTGTGACGAATGGAACAAGTGTCATGGGCACCCATAGCACTTGCAGCTACTGGAGAATGTACTTGAGCGAGTTTGACAACATTTTGATTGCCAGCCAAACGCTTGCAAAAAGACAAGTGAGGAAACGGAACCAAACGAATCTGTGAGCAGGTCGATGGAGTTGCGCAGCTTGGTTTCAACACGGACGATGTTCAATCTTTTGTTGGAAACTGTTGAAGACGCTGTTCAGACACTATGCAAACATAACACATCGCAGGCATTTCTAGCAAAGAAACACAGTTTGGCTGCGGTGAAACGACAAACGAGCAAGTTTGCGAACCAACGATCAGGAGCATCTCATGTGATATCGACGGCAAGACGGTGACAGTGGAGTACGACGATGCAAAGACGAAACCGCAGGCTGGCTGAAGTTTTAATCGAAAACGTGCTTGTTTGGCGCATGTTTCATGAGCAAACTAAATACACCAGGAGAAAAATCATGCACACACACACAGAGAAAACTCACTGGAATGCCCGCAAGAGGAGATGTGGGACAAGATGAAAAAATGGGCAGATGCAGCTCAGAAAGAGCTTGCCCCATGCCCCGAATGAGAGAGATCGACCACAGATCGACCTCTTTTTTAGTCCAGCTTGATCTGTTGGAACGCATCAATTTCTTTCCAGAACGAAGAGGTGGTACAGCCACACTGCATAAGAACCCACTGGGGCCAGCGGCGTCACTGCTTAGACCGTCGCTCGGACTCCACGCCGGGCGCCCCATGGCCCGTGGGGCCCGGCGCCGAAAGTCGCCGCCGTCGCGCGCCAAAAAGGGGCGCCCGACCTGGACGGACGCGGCGAGAAATTGTGTGTGTGTGTGTGTGTGTTGGAAGTAGCGTTGAAGCTGTTGACGATATCAGGAGCAAGACAAAAGTCTGCAAGGCCTGGGCAGCCCAGTTGAAGCGGCAGGGTTGGTATGAACACCTTGCATGATCTTCCTGAAATCACTTCATTGGAAAAAAGACTAGCTTTCCCCCAAACAATGTTGGGGGGGGCGCGGTACCTTCGGTCTTTTCCCGCCTTCCCACCGGTCCACCGGTCGTTCCACTGCGTTCGCGCAAGAACCCCAATGGGCTCGGTCCGTTCGGATGGTGAATCAGCGTTCGCATGGCATGAACGGTGGGTCACCCTATGTCATGGACCGATGTAGCTGTGAAATAATGCTTCACTAATAATGGGTCACCATAGTGTGACCAATGTAGCCGGTCCCTTTGGGATGGTTTTTCTCGTTCGAGCATTTTGCTCCACACATGGTTTCTTCATGCAGTGTTGTGCCGCGCGGATTGCTTTAGAGTGCACTAATAGTTTGCTGAAGCCTCTTCTTGGATTTTCTTGGCATGGGATTAGCACCTGTTGGCACCCCAGTACATATCTTTGAAACCTTTGTGTGGAATTCTTCGTCGATGCATGAGTCTACCTGGCTACCCTTGTTTGCTTTTAGTGCATGTCGAAGCCTCCTGCATTCTGCATTCTTGAAATACCTTGTGCACTCTGGCTGAGTTCCTTTGCTCAGCGCGCGCAGAGCCCAGAGAAGAATGGTTGTGTAGAGAAGAGTGTAGTAGAGGAACGGTTTTGCTCATTCAGACGGCATCACCAAAGGGGTCCAGCTGGGATCCATTCTTTCATGTCTGGGGCGGATCGCTTCAGTGCGGATTGCTTCATGTCGGCAGTGGTTTCTAGATGGCGCCGGTGGATGTTTCGCAGGTCGTCCCCGATGGCTACTCCGAAGCCGGCGCTACTCCTCAAGAGCCAGAGGAAGAGATGGAGGACATGACCATCTTGTATATCCCGTAGAAGTCCATATGATACTATATAATACGACTATATAATACTATATATATATATAATATACCTGGACCATCCTGTTTGGGTGTCGCTACCCTGCACTATACTAGATCTCCAGACTGGAGTGTCCAGACGGTCGGGTGTATCCATTGAAGCAAAAGAAGAGACCGGTCCACCTCGTTCCACCTCGAGACCGACCGGTCTTTCGTTCCTCTGGAGAAGA